CAAATTAATAGGTTTATTAAAATGTCCCAAGCCCAGCACAAAAAGAAGGACCAAAACCCTAAAAGGTTCACACTGAAGAAGAAAAAAAAGTAGACATTTATGCGAGTAGATTTATTTTTAGTTTGTGGTGGATGTCAGAAAAGGCACCAAAATTATCGGACTTCCAAAGCCAAAAAGCCCCAAGGGGAGAAATTAAATTTAAAAAAATATTGCAAATATTGTCAAAAAACGATAGCCCATAAGGAAGAAATTATTAGTAGTGGGAAAAAGAAATAAACAAAAGAAAAATTGAGGTTTGCGAAGCCAATTTTGTATAAAATATAACCTAATGAATTCAAATTATTAGTTAAAATTAAAATTATATGACCCGAGCAACTAATACCCCAGCCACACACAGACGACGAAAAAAAATTATCAAGCAAGCTAAAGGTTATTTTGGCTCTAAACGAAAATTATTTAGAACAGCTAAAGAGCAAGTTAATAAGTCATTGACTTACGCTACTCGGGATCGAAAAGTTGAAAGGAGATGCAAGCGCCAAGACTGAATAAGGCGCATAAACATTGCTTGCCGCAAACAAGGGCTTAAATATTCTAGATTTATGCGCTTAAAAGTTTTAGCACAAATTAAGTTAGATCGTAAACAGTTATCTGAGATGGCTATACATCAACCCCAGCACTTTGAAGCCTTAATTAAAAAGGTTCAAAAACCGTGATAAAATGATTAAAATTAAGATATAGATACAAGGTATACAAAGGCAGTGTAGTTCGCTACCATTAAAAAATATAAATATAATGTTATTATGAATTATTCAATCATCCAATTGGCTCGAGAGCAATTAAATGTATTTGAAAATGATTATCAAGTGCTGGTAAAAAAAATCAATCTCTCTCTCTTTACTTTGTCTAAAACCAATCTCAGCATGGAAGAAAAGGAAAAAGTGTGGAACGGATTATTAGAGTATACCAAGAATATTATCAGGAGAGTGGAGGAAATTTTAGAAAAGTTAGAAGGGGTGCGTTTTTCGCTTAATGAAATAGTGCTACATGAGGAAAAAGATAATTTAATTCAGGAATATCATTTATTAATAAAAAAATTACGAGAAGAAAAAGAAACTATTCTCCGCCAAAAGGAAAAAAAGAAAATAATTATTACCCCTCTCCGCCAAAAGGCAGTCAAAACCGGTTACTGTTATTTTTGTGATATTAGTATCGCCACCGATTTTCCCTACAAATTGAAAATGGAGGAGCAAAATACGCTGGGAATTGAAATTGTTGAAGGAGCCGCTTTCTGCTCCCAGGAGTGTTTGCTAAATTATTGTAAGGAGTATAAGAACCGAGAAAAAATGCGCCAAGAGGAAGAAAAAAAGAACAAAGAAAAAATCGCTCGCGACCGACAAATGATTACGGAAATTCAGGGGCAAATAGCCAATTTGACCTCAAGAATAAACCGATTGGAACAAAGAGAACGCGAATTGGAATTGTTGCCTGAAAGTTATCAAGTAGAACGACCAGAAAATACCGGTTTCTGGCGTCGCCTCGGTCAAAAACTTGGTTTAGCCAAAAAACCTAGCCCGCTGTCGCGGCTGGAAAGAGTGAGAAAATTGAAAGGAGAATTGAGTATTCAATTGGAAAAAACCGGAGAAAAATTACAAAAAAGTTTGATAATCCTTTCTTTAGACGAACAAAAGGAACAAGAAAGAAAAAGGCTGGAGAAAAAAAACCTCCTTGAAAAAAAGAAAGTTTCTGCGCACGAAAAAGAATTGCTTGATGAATAACAAAAAA